AAAATTCGTGGCGTTAGTCAATTTTAACAGCTCATCTTACATCTGTCATCACATTATGTCAAAGGGATTAGTGAAGTTGGCTCGAGCAATGCACACGGTAGCAATTCAGCATCGCATTCGCCAAACATTAATGAGGAACCTTGCTAATTGCGGTATAATGAGAGATGCAAAGTCAATCAAGAGTCCATAAAGGGAAATTTTCCTATTATGGACTTTAAGCACATGCATCCATATGGCTATGTTGTAAGAGAGAAACAACGCTCTCGCATCGAGGTGCTTGGGCAATAGAAGAGCAAATAATGCACGGAAACCACTGATAGACAACGAGGACAACACGCCCTGATTTAAACCATATGCACCATATGCATATTTGTATAGAAGATCAAACAACGCTATCGCTATGAGGCTTGGACAATAGAAGAGCAAAATATATGCACTGAAACCATGATCAGCCAAACGATCCGACACACCGACTTGTGCACACTGATAGCAGTTATTCTCATGTATACCTTTGCATGGTCGCCCAGCACTGTTAATGTAAAAATTTGCATGCCGAGCAGCACACGCATATCGCGTTGCTTGTTTTTGAGGGCATCTTTTCGACATCATTGATAGGTTTTCCATGAGGAAAGTTTTGATCCGTGATTTAATGTTTGCCAGCATCTGAATCGCGTGATGAAATCAGCCGTTGTAACTATGACGGGAAGAATACGCGAGAAAAATATAATTGAAGCTGATTGAAAAAAAAAATCAATAAATGTGTCGGAATAAAAATTCTATGATCTAACGAAACCGCCCATGCGTGGCAATGCTCAACAAAGCTCACCTGAACACACACGCACGCTACGCCACGCACGGCACGCACGCACGCGACGCACGCCACGCAGCGCACGCACGCCACGCACACACACACACACACACACACACACATTTCTATTAGTTAGCTTGTTTCATGGTTGTGAGGCCTTGTGAGATTATTTAGCGAGCAGTGATAATTAGAACTCTGTAGACAAATAAAAATAATCACAAACACAGTATGGAATGAGACTAGCCCATAGTAAAACACAGTATACTCGATGACTTGTGCTGTATCAAGTAAAAATCATTTGCATACAAATCTTCTGTGATACTTTGAAATGATGCTATTATTTCTTTTGTTTGAATCTTTGAAACATTATTTTGTTATGCCAATGAACTTGTTCACGTATTTCAAAAACGCGTTCGTTGTCCCATGTTGGTTCAGTTGTACGCACGAGGATCGCTTAACTCAACAACCGCACACGTTTGAGCTTGCACTACAAAACTGCCTGTTTTTCAATATAATTTAAAGCGATCAGCACAGTCACAAAACCTAGGTAAATTACGTAATTATTAGCATCAAACGTTTTTTAATGCAAAATGAAACGTATAATAGCGATACCGGATATATTTCACACAGGAATATAACTCGTGGGTGCTACAGTATGGATATTACATCAGAGAGTGATAATAATAGATTATTATTATAATAGATCTATTATTATTTTCACTCACTGAATAACATGGTGCTGTTATTTATTATCCTATTTCATAGATATTTACGTGCCATCCTTTCTAAACGCACCACTGTCTACAAAGTATAGATGTTATTTATCTCTGAGCACAAATTCGCACGAGTTAAAACGTGAGATCAAAAGTCCTCCTTATAAATTGTTAAAGTAAAAAATAGACTCGTAATACATCGCTACCGGAATTGATTTGACTCGTTCGCATACAAAATTCCACGTATGCGATCGTCCGCACACCAGGTGCACCAAGAGGGCAATCAGGCACACCGGACCGCCACAGGCGGGCATTTAAATACAAGTATACACACATATAAAATGTACACATATAAAAACATGCTAAGCAGTGCAACACACATACACCAGCACTCGGCTTTTCGAGCCTACCTTTCCCGTTTTACGGGTCACCATGAATTTACAACCAGTTACAAAAACTAAAGCTACATCCAGGCATAACGCTTTACTCACGGTACATGTTTAAATCATAAATTGCATCCGTACATGATAATCACTACACGACCATTGTCCTCAGTTATGATGATATATATATATATTATATATATATATTACAGGAGTCTATCAATATTGATAGACTCCTGATATTCACGTACAACCCTGTTTGCATATCGGGCTAATTGAATTGTCTTTCGACTGATCTATTCATAATTATGCTACACATAAACTCTATATACGTTGTGTGCAGAGAACACTTCAAAAAAATATTTAGCTTTAGCCTTTCACACACATACCCTCCTCCCACCCTGAAAAGTTGCATCCGGTTACTCTAAAACATGTAATACGTTACGGCCCTTACGGGAGGACTGTGGCGTGGCGAGGATAGACCCCGATGGTGGACCGAGCTTAGGTAGTTGGTTCTCTTTGGCTTTCTACGGCGTTACTATATTTGCGTACATACATAATTGCACCTTTGTCTCGTCATCTCCACACTTGGCTATAGAGTTAGTTCGCTTGGTTTTCATGGTCAAACACTGCTCCAATGGCCACTACTGCCGCCGTAAAAAAACCATCACAGAAGTTAACGTAAGTCAGACTGTAGATTCTGCTATCAATAATTATACACAGAAAAAAATAGCCGTCTAACAATACACGGCGGCTAGAAACATATATATATATAATTAATTATATATTAACTATAATAATCGCTAAAAATACCATGCAACAGAATTCAGTCACTATCAGAACCGCATATATGTAATCAACGGCAGCCGTGGTATGCGTTATTTAGTGGCGCGCACAGCACACATGCGAATATCAGGTGTGTGATTTCTTGATTTATAAGTAAAAGTATAATCGATAGCGTAACGGCAAGATTTACACAATACTGCTTATCAAACGTTTGTGATTCATTTATGATGTGAGAAAACAGAGCCATGTTCACACATACAAGTATTCTCGATGCGTGAATGAGTTTGTTTTCGACACGTAAGTAATAATACTTATATCGGCGCACACACACGCACGTACCGCACGCACGCACGCACACACAACCACTCCACACCACACACAAGGCACGTTATTGTAGAAAACTAGATTTTAATGGCGTTACTAACGTGACGAGAATCGATTTTTCACACACAAGCAATAATTGCAGACAGCATACAAGGACACAGATGCCTCTAGATTGAGCCCTCGCGACTCTGGAGTTGCGCGTTTTTGGAATACGCACATGCTCGTTAATTGACACTTAAATTTACGCGAGCTTTTATTTTGAATAACGCAAGTACGACAAACGATGCAAATCATCAGTAATACTAAATAGCGACCACTGGCAGACATCAACATTGGAGCAGTCTGGCGTGGTGTTGTCAGCAGTGTACGTGAAGCTTGCGTAAACGTGTAGATCGGAACGCATTGTCGTTGTACTTATTGTACATAAAGTGGGTGGAATAGAGAGAGCCCAGCACTGCACTGTGATTCTGACTACTGGTAATAATTTAGTACTTTGTTATGTTTATTGCCGTATTTCTCTCCTCGATTCGTTTTCATCCTCAGATAAAAATAACACCGGATTAAAAAAACGGGTAATGAAAGTAGGAAAAATATAAAGAATAGAAATTTCACATGACAGATGCACTGAAAATCATTCGACAATAGCCGGTGCCCATAAATACATCGATTCGAAAAGACCACCGAGAATGTGGACACAAGAATGTGGCGCGAATATCTTTTCCAAAAATCGTCAGAAATACCCATCTGTTAGACAGTCAGACAAAACTGTCGTTAGCAGTTGTTAGCAATCACTACTTAAGGTAGCGCCTCCACACCGACGGGTGGCGAAACTTTGGCGATCTTCTAGAATGCTGGAAGATTTCTTGCAAGTGCGCTCTTGCAAGGAATATCGCAAACGAACTGTGTATCAGTTGCGTGAGAACCTGAGCGAGATAATTTTACTAATGAAAACCACCACAGCAGCCGATCACCGGTGGTTGCTGCAGACATCTCAGGTGCTATAACATAATAGGCAACCTTTGTAGGCAGTAGCCGCATTGTCTTGAATCTGCTTCATGACAAGATGACATGCTCTCCCACGATGACGACCTTAATGAAGATGGTAGATGGCGCCAGAGGCTGTGGTGCATCGCGTTGTCTCATATCCACTCTCTAGGATACCAGACGGCTAGTGCACTGCACCGCTGACAACCTTAATGAAGTCGTAGATGGCGCCAGTGTGTCGTCGCATGTCGCACGCCTCTCAGATCCGCTCCAGGACGTACAGGATACCAGCGCTGTCCAGCTGTGACGAACTTGCTGAAGTCGGCAGAGGGCGCCACGTACTTTACGAGCTGCGGCGCACGTGGAATGTCTGCAGCAGTTCTCATCCTTCGCCAGAACTTGACGCTATCGAAGCGGACACAATGACGTTCCGCGGGCGATAAGTGAAGTCTGTCACCCAGCTGTTGTGCCGGGAGAGCACATCTGCGGATAGGAGGAAACCATCGTGAATGCCCTGACTGCAATCATATATATGTCATGCGTCAAGTCTGCATTGAGACAGCCATTAATGACCATGAAACAATGCTGAGATTCCACTTAATTATACAAACCCTTCTACTGAAATGTGGTATACGGAAAATTAACATCAAAGAAGAATCATTACGTGGGTAAACTGATTGATGTCTACTTTGCTGTTATTTCACAGCTCCTGAACGACTACGTGAATGCAGCTAAATAGATGTAACCAGCTTCAAAACACAAGACACACGACAGAAATGAACAGCCCATGGAACATTGATATGCTCACATAAGGATAATATTATTTTATCATATAAATTATGTGTGTACGTGTGTTGGGGTGTGTGCGTATATATATATTGTGTGTGAGTTTACTATATATAATATATATATATATATATATATATATATATATATTATATCTATACGTATTATCCTCTCTTGATGTAGTCGACGCTAATCAGACCTGTATGCATCACTCACTCAGCAGTCCGGTGTGGATATCCCACAGGAACACGAAGCCTTGATCATCGCCGGACGCGATGTAGCGGCCGCATGGAGAGAAGGCGCAGCTGCGCACGCAGTCAGAGTGTCCCGTGAACGACCGCAGCAGTTTGCCCGTGGTCGCACTCCACAGCTGCAAGTGCACACACACGCGCGCACGCACGCGTCGCCACACGTCACGACCGAACATTCGACGACACATTACGGCGCGAACGTAGAAAATTTCAGTCGCAGAAATGCGTTAGTTGAGTGCAGAGGAAACGTTAGACTGACACGCAGGTGTTTCCAATGAGACCACGTTGGTTCTAAGTAGGCATTAGGTGCACTTTGGCATTAATGCTAGAGTTAGGAAATCTGACAACTACTGTATACGCCATATTTTTCGCATACAGATATTTTCGCTACTTCAGACTTGACAGACAATTTCGCAAGTGGTTAATTTCGCGGTCTGTAAATTATAAAATATTTGGTATTATTCGGTATGAATTATTCGCATTGTTATTTTCGCGGTCGGGGACGCATTCGTGAAATTTGCGAAAATTAAACCACCGCGAAATATACAGCGTATACAGTAGTTTAATGCATTTTTCAGAAAAATTATGTGCCACTCCCACCGCTTTTAATTCCATTTGCTTATGCTGTCCAAAGTTATTGTCAGCATCGACACGCATATGTGATGTCACTAACCTTCACTGAGCGGTCGACGGAAGCGGACACCATCGTCTTCTCGTCAGGTGACAAATCACAGCACAGCACCCACTCCGTGTGAGCGGCACAGCAAAGCACCTCTCGCCCCGTCGCCACGTCCCACACCTGCAGGAGGACATCGCCATTAACGGGTTTTACACACACCGACAAGTTTGCTCACGAACGAACACTGTTACTCCACTAAATGCACAACTTGTCCGTTCACTTTAAACATGCGAAATGTGATAAAATAACCAATAAGAAAACACTTAATATAGTGGCATTGAAGTACGATCATACATAATTCTTGTGGTACATTTAAATCCTCTCTGCAGATTTTATCGTTACGGTTTACATTTTGTTGATGAATGCATGTAACTAGCGGCAACCGACTCAGTAGCTTCTGCTTTGCTACGACGTTTTGCGTGCTCCTCAATCTACCACAATGCTACGAAAGCTTCAACGACTAATGCGCTTCTGATTCGTATAAGCCACGTGCATCAGATGGTGCAAATGTGGAATCTCACCCTAATTGAACCGTCGTGCGAGCATGAGAGCACACGGGAATTCTCGTGGAACAGGCGACACCGCCAGACCACGTCCTGGTGACCCTCACAAATTACACAGCTGCCTTTGTCTAGCGACCACACCTGCGAATGCAATCAGAGGCGGCTAAAACGAGAGAGTTAATGTTACTTTAGGCAAGAACGTGTATTCCTATTACAAGCCAATAATGACAGAATGCATGCTATGAAGTAGTGATGAAATGCAATGAAACTGATTTCGTTTTTTTATTACTATAATTGCTACAGTTGTCTCTATTTCTGCCATCGATTCATCTTGTTTGAACGAAGTTATTATCGAATCATAGCATTTGCTTTTACGTTGACAGCTAAAAAAACTTTTTTTGATATACGAAATATTCAACAAAACCACTCACGCACTATAATCACGTGTACATGATACACGGTACACGATGATCATTTCTCACTACTGGGTACTCCTAGCAAAACCGCAACGGACAGCACAATCATCGATTGGACCAAGCGGCCCTTGCGGATCACAGGCGTTGTTCAAGCCCAAGCCAGACTCACCCGCAGGGTGTGGTCCTCCGCACACGTGACCAGCATGTCATCATCAGAGCTGAACACGCAGCAACGCACCGTCGCAGTGTGACCCACCAACTCCTCAGTCCTCACGATGGCACAACCAGCCAAGCGGAGAAGCTGTGCACGACAATGTCTTATATATATATACTGACCTGATGAAGAGATGTAATCTCGAAAGCTTGTCAATTAAACTTTAAACACCCTTATTCTATACCTTGACTTTGTTTTTATCTACACGGGTGTTCGTGTGTCTTTACTTCTATATATATATATATATATATATTATTTACCAGTATATATTACATACATGACAGTATTTTGCTTCACCTTGGGAAGAGTTGGCTAGAATTGTGAACATTTCATCCTGACAGAATATTGTGTACACTCAGGTGGAAAAACACATCTACAGAAGACATTTTTAGTTAGTTACAGGCTATCATAAAAAGATTTTAGTGGAGGATACTTAGCATGGACAGAAATTTATTTGATCAGCCACTCACTTTCAGTGTACCATCCTCACAGCCATAAGCTACAGTGCTGCCATCGTGTGACACGGCACATGATCGTATCCTTGACTGCTCCTTCTCTGTCTGACAAATCACCTCACCTTCGTTGCCGCACAACACCTGATCGAGTAATTTCCGTCAGTTTCGCAATTGATGCGCTTGCACGATTACAAAATCACTCATTCATCCCTTCGAATTCACGCATGTCGTGTGCAATTTTAAAGTGCTGACAGGTCACTGAACGGCGTCGTCCCGTGGAGTCGCGTACTTATAAGCTACTCACCAACCCTGCGCCTCACTATGTAACACGAGCCCCCCACCCTCTTCCAGTGAATGTTCGCGATAGGTGCACCGTGGTACTTCTCACCAAGAGCCGGTTCCTGCTGTCAGGGGCCGCCACCGTCACCGTGCCGGTGGGAGAGTAGTGTACCCCGAAGTCTCTCTTCAGGGATGGCGACTGCGACTCCTCGTCTGAGCTGGCATTCCAAATCTATCACATATACGATTGCGCATGTAGCAGTGAAAAAAATACACGGGGGCTCGGGGCGATTTAGCCCCCGAAATGCCAAAAAGAGCCCCGGAAATGCCAAAAAGAGCCCCCGGAAATTTGCATAGAGTTCAATGCAAACCAAATTTTAGAATGCTATTTTCATGCACGCGAGCTTGAAAAGTAGCCCCCGAAAAATAAATTATGTTTTTTTCCCTGGCATGTAGCACTCGGTCGGATCGTCCCAGACACACACACACACACACACTGCAGAGACCGTTGAGGTCTCATATATACCTACGAGCGCGCGATTCACACAAGTTAGAAGAGAAAGGGTTGAATTTTAATTCGACGACTGCAGACGTTTTTCTCTGCAGTCGACACGTACGGCAGAACGCTTACCATTACTGTTTCGTCGTCCGAAGCAGAAACTAATCGATTGCCGTCTGGGGAGAAATCCAGCGAGTAAACCCAGCCGGTGTGACCTTTGTAGACTGACAGCAAACTCCCGGTGCACACGCTCCATAGCTGAAATACAACGAATACAATAGTGCCATGAAGCAATACCAGTCCTTGGTGGTGACCGTAACTTTAACCACATTTCCTGCCAATTTACGAAATGTACGGCTACCGCCTTTCTATGAGGCTAAATGGACTCTAGAGAGCTCGTTTCTGCTTTTCAGTTAAATGGATGATATCAGGAAACCAGATTAAGTATTCTCCACGATTCTATCAGGTCATTTCTTATAAAGAAATGAATATTAATTTGAAGGCCTTTCGCCTCTTGGCTGTTGCTGTTGAGAAACCCAACTGCAGCAATAAAGATAATTAGCAGCAGTACTGGTTTGTACTTTTTTTTTTGGTACAGGGAGTTTGTCTTTACCTGCACAGAGTAATTGGATAGACCACCAGCGACGATGCTAGCATCTGGGGACAGGCGGCAGCACAGCACGGCATTCCCGGACCTTGCATTGCATGTCTGCCTCTGCTTGCCACTCAATGAATCCCAGACCTGAAGACCAACGTAGTAATATTACGACGTAAAAAGACATAACGTACGACGATAAAGACGTACGACGATAAGACGTACGACGATAAAGTCATAGGCATAGCAGCTTAGTCTTAGGCATAGCAGCTACGAGGTCTGCACTGCTAGTCTACGGCTGGTAACTCGGAGCAGCCGAGCGACCAGAACACGTAGATGTTATTTAGTTCCAAGCGCGGCACAATGGCCCTCAGCAACCGCCTCACTTTCGTTTCAATACCGGCCTTTTATCCAGCAAAGCTACTCGGTATTATATATATGTGGGTGGCGTTGTTGGCCACCCACCAGCGAGATAAACACATTTTTACATCAGCTACATTACTACATAGTTACATAGCTACATTACAACATAGCTACATTACTACATAGTTACATAGCTACATTACAACATAGCTACAATGCTAATAACTACATTGCCACATTGCTGCATTACTACATTGCTACATTACCACATAGCTACATTACCACATAGCTAAATTACTACATAGCTACATTAAAACATAGCTACATTATAACATAGCTACATTACAACATAGCTACATTGCTAATAGCTACATAACTACATAGCTACATTACAACATAGCTACATTACTACGTAGCTATATTACTACATTACTACACAGCTACATAGCTACATTACTACATATCTACATTACTACTTTTCCACACTAGCTACATAGCTACATAGTTACATTACTACACTGATATATTACTACATAGCTGCATTACTACATATCTACATTACTACATTTCCACACTAGCTACATAGCTACATTACTACATATCTACATTACTACTTTTCCACACTAGCTACATAGCTACCGTACATAGTTACATTACTACACTGATATATTACTACATAGCTGCATTACTACATATCTACATTACTACATTTCCACACAAGCTACATAGCTACATTACTACATGGCTATATTACTACATAGCTACACTAGCTACATAGTAACATTACTACATTCCTACATTACTACGTAGCTATATTACTACATTGCTACATAGCTACATTGCTATACATAGCTACATTACTACATTGCTTCATTACAACATAGCTACATTGCTACATAGCTACAATACTACATTGCTTCATTACAACATAGCTACATTACAGCATAGCTAGTTAGCTACATTACTAAATTGCTACATAGCTATATTGCTACATAGCTTATTGCTACAGGTGTCGACTGAAGCAAAGCGAGATAAAGAGCTTTGCTCAAAGGCACATCAACCACGGTGGAACTCGAACCAAAGGCCGTTTAGCCCGAATTCAAGTGTGCGCTACACTTAGACCATCAATGCCCCACAACCCACCCACCGAAAAAAAATACGAAGCACATCGTTAAAACGTGGTACGCATCGTACGAACACAGATACGCGCGACGCCAGCGTCAGCCGTCGCAAGCCGCCGCCATTTGCACCGGTAGATCCACGCGTGACTAAAAGAATATTGCGCACTAACAGATAGAAGTCGTACTCTGTGAAAAGTAAAACGCTTACGCAAAAAACGAACACGCTTGATTGTAGCCAACAAAGAAGCTCTAACGAGATCGTAGCAGATACTAAAGCCAAATCACGGCAAAAAAAACATTTGCACGGTACGAACGTCGCTGCACGCACCTGAACATATGGTTAGCAAACAAACAAAAAACGTATATAAATGGTGAAAATAAATCGCTGCACGTCGGAATTTTGTTTTTGCGACTACGTGCGTACACAGATGTAATCAATAGCATATAAAGAAGGCCTTCTTTATTTGCTCTTGGTGTAATCGTGTTTGCGCGACTACGTATACGTATGCCCGCAGATACAAATCGAACACACAGGCTATTGTGCTGTGACCACGTATGTGAACGCAGTTTTTACACAGAAACATCGGCTGCTGCTAAAGAAGTCAACTGCCGAAGTCATGCAAAAAAGCCCATCAAGCATTTAAACTGATTTTATTATTATTACTAATTGCTGTCGCTTACGGCTGGCGAATGTTTTGCTAAAATATCAATGCTGCGTTGCGAAAAAATCTGCTCATCTTCAGTTTCTTTGCACGCAGAATTACAAAAAAATGAAAAAGTGTACTGGGGATCAATAAATCTCGTATTCGCGTAACGCACGCATGCGTGCCTAATACTCTAGTTATCGTGGGATGATATTTTCCGTCATACTTGGAGGAGCGCTATGTAACAAGAGTAGGCGATATAGCGGAGCGCGTGTGTGCTACGTATTATAACAGGCACGTGTGATCGTATAGTGACCAGGTTCGCGAACAGTAGATACGTGTGCTATTGTACTGAAGCCGCAGGCAGTATAATGCTATAACCACAGAATTATTGCAGTACCTCTAGTCTTTAATAATCAACATCATAGTGACAATCATATACAATACATAGGTGGCTACACAGGCCAACTAGAAAATACGCGTTACAAATGATTTATAGCTTACGATTTATATAGAGCATATATATATATTAGAGCAGCAGGCAGCAGCTAGGGTCCGCAGCGAGAGACGTCCGGCGGCGACGGTGACGAGCAACGAGAGCAGGTGAGAGAGCAGCGCGGTTGCTGACAGCGCCGTGAACTGTCTGTCTCTTTGTCCAAATCGGCGGGTTTTTATTCATCTTCAGGAATCCGTGGCCCGAGCGTGGTCAATGCCTTGTTGCGCGCGGATGGTGCAATACTGTCGTCATCTCCAACATTTTTATGGCTAAGTGAAGGTGAGAAGCTTCTCGCTCCGTGGCTAGCTAAGTGAAGGTGAGAGGCTTCTCGCTCCGGCGTGGGAATGGCGGCGTTTCGCTTCATGTTTCCATATTTCACATTTGTCGGCGACGTTCGTTGTTTGTTCTTCATGAGTCGGCATGCGACATCAAACTGTGACGTGTTTCTCTCCGCCTTGTTTAGGTGCTAAACTGTCACTCTGCCGTCGTGGGTGATAACTTTTACTCGCGTTCCAGTGACTCATCGCAGTTTCTAATCGACGGGCGACGTGCCACTGCTGATGACGGAAATAAAATCGTTACAGTTTTAACCCTGGTTGGAATATAAAAAACGATGCACGGGTCGCTGTGGCGCAATCACTTTCTCTTGAGGTCGTTACAATGATCGACACGGTTTCTCCGGATGGTTGGGTGACATTGTTCACTTGTTGCCTTAGGCTATTTTGAATGATGTGTCACTTTGCTTATTCTAAGTTAAGAATATCTACTAATAAATCTATATGTAGCATGTCATCTGTATTATTACAGCGACAGTGTACGAGAAGACACGCTTTGCTCGGCCTCCGCATACATCGGCTGCTAAAACAACGCAGAACCCAACGCAGCTCCGCAGCGAACGAAGATAGTAGCACTCAACGACAAGAGAAACATAACGCCACCGATAACGAAACCTTCTGAAGCTGACTGAACTCATGGCACAAGCGAACAACACCACGCTGAGCTGTGAGGAACTTGGATATGTGGTGATTGCTTTCGACGAGCTGATGCAGCCCACTGTTCTGCACGCGGTGTTTTTCAGCTTCATCGTCATCCTCGGCATTCCCAGCAACATTGTCGTGCTGATCGCGTATCGGCACATCCAGAAAGCGAACCACACAGATAAGTTCACGGCCGTCTTCGTGCGTCTGCTCTCTGGCTGTGACATCATCATCTGCTGCACCGTATTCACTCACTACATCAACATGAAGAACAACATCGCGCTGTGCACGCTCGAAACGTACCTGCAGATCATTCCCTTAACATTCTCATTCTGCATTCTTGTTGTGATTGCCGTGGAGCGGTACCTGGCAGTGTGCCACCCCCTGGTGAAGATGACAATTAAGCACATCGCTGCTTTGATTGGTATCTCGATGGCCACCGCGATCGTAGTGACACTGAATTATTCCATCCCGCACAGAATCGTCGCGCGGGACTGCTGCACGATCCCCGATGTCACGCTGCTAACGGTCATAGTGACGAAGGATGCTGCATCGCTCTACATCGTCATACTGCTGCTTCTCGTCGTTCTCTACGCCCTCATCTTCAGAGCGATCTACAAGCGGCAAACGAACAAGGTTGGCGCGCACAGTCACGACGCGAGCTCCACTCTTAACACGATATCCGTATCGGTGGCACCGGCCGCACAGCAGAAGAACAAGAACGATCTCTCCGAAGTGAAGCCAACCTGGGAAGCTGGGAGCACGCGCGTTGGAGAGCCAGGGAAGTCAAGCACCATTCACCTCCACGCCACTGATGAAGCCATGCCTCAGACAGCATGTTCTTCTCAAGCAGCATCTTCGCCGGCGGTACCCACAGCTTCCAATCAAATCCAGCTCCCTCGAAGAAGCCAGCCGGGTGGAAAAAAGTCCAGCGGTAAGACTACTCTCCAGTTGAAGTCAGCTCTCATGTTTAGCCTCATCACGCTGTCATTTTTTCTCGTCTGGCTGCCGTTCTGGCTGATGAACTTAGCACCTCTGCATGACTGGAACTTGGGAATTCCTATATTTATGCACCGATTCTATTATCTCAATACCTTAACAGATCCTCTTCTGTACGGTATATTCGATAGAAGAGTACGAACATATCTGTCTGGGATGAAGAAATCAGTGCACAATTGTTTGAAAATATAGCTAGGTTTCGACATAATTTGAGGAAATGGTTACCTTTTCTCGTCGCTATAAGCAGTATATTCAATATATCAAGAGCTAATAATACCTTAATAATATCACCAAGGTATTATTAGCTCTTAAATATATATTAAACCCTGTAACAACGAGTAATACAGAACTTAGCAGATAATTCATCCAAAATATTGTCATAGACTACAATGAAGCTAACACAGTTTCATAGTTGACAATTAGGGTCACACCAGCTGCATTAAGGACTGCCTGGCACAGACAATACTGTATCTAACAGAGTGTTGTACTAGGGCTGATAGGGTCTATGTCCCCCAGGGTACTGCCGGAACGTACCCTGGGTACGGTCCGGTATACCGGAACGTACCCTGGTACTAAATACTACTATCTAATATGCCAGACCGTACCTCGCCTACTCCACTAACGAGTCTAGGTAGTCGCCTACGCCTAGTCCCTAACCCTAACCCTAACCCTCACTCTAACCCTAACCCTAACCCAAACCCTAACCATATCAGCTAGATAGTTACCAGGGTACGTTCCGGTATACCGGACCGTACCCAGGGTACGTTCCGGTATACCGGACCGTACCCAGGGTACGTTCCGGCAGTACCCTGGGGGACATAGACCCTATGAGCTGTACTAGGTATTGTTTCCGTGGGTTTTATTGATCTCTTTCGCCCACATATTACCTACGGCTGTGTAAAACTACAACATTTTGTCAGGAGGAAATTGCATGGCCCCCGCTTGTCACTTGAACTATCGAGAAAACGTGCTGGTAATCAATACATAACAAATGTCATTTACACATTAAAGATCAAGTGTCGTACTTTTAAGGATACTGTTAGGGTTACGGATGGGTAACACTGTAAAGAGCATTGCAACATAACTGCTCATGAAATTCAATCAAATTAAAATCCATTACATACGAGAGATGTCTCTCTACGCTCTTGATAAATTTTTTTTTAATTCATCGCTAATTAAGTGACGGCAAAAATTGTTAAATTATACCCAAAAAATGTCTTTTTTGCTATTTTGCAGAGTTGGGACCTAAACTTTTAACCATCCAAGTTGCTCATGATATGAACTAAAAAAGGGTCCCTGGAATTTTTTTAAATGCTTTCATTTAGGAAATAAGTTGAAAATATGTACGAAAATTTGTAGTGATTTTCAAAACGCAACAATTTCGTAAACAAAGAGCCATAACTTATAAAATATAATTTTTTTTTTAATTCCAGGGAGATTTTTTTCCTTTGATATGTTAGCATTGAAACGTAACACAAAAATTTGGAATCGGAGTTATGTGTTTCGAGAAATAGCGTTTGAAAAATCAGCAACTTCAGTATTTTAACAATGGAAATATTAGCATTTTTCTAAATTTCCCATGAGTGAACGCCTGTGTTAAGAATTGACTAATGCCGGGATTTGGAATGGTTTGGGAGGCTACATACATAATTTCTACGTATACATAGCCAGGGGCGGCAGGGGGGGGGCGGTCGCCCCCCCCTATTATTTGCAAGAAAAAGGAAAGAAGAAGAAGAAAAAAAAAAGAAGAAAAAAAGAAGCAGAAGAAGAAAAAGAAAAAGAAACATCTTGCAAATGTCTTGCAAATGATGGGTGGGGTGGGGGGTCACCCCCCCCCCCCCAATCCATTTGCCAAGAAAAGGTTTTAAAGAAAGAAGAACGAATTTCTTCTGCATAAATAGGGGGGATCGCCCAAAAAAATTGGAGTGAGGATTTGTAGGCCTACAAAAAGGCTGGACTCACATTTCATCAAACAAATTTCGAAAAATAAGGTTCGAAAAATTTCAATCCATTATAGAAACCCTGGTGGACTTAAATTTGATAATCGACTGTTCAAGTGTTATTTGCCTTTGGAGTCCCCAAGTTGGGACCATCATTTTGTCTGGATGATGCGTTCCCGCGGAAAGTAGGCCACACCACGTTTGAGGGCTGTTAAACAAACTTTATAAATTATAAATTACCAAACGTTTTCAGGACATTGAACCTCTAAATAATACTTTCTTAAACAATTGCTATCTTATATTTTACCTCCGCCCACGGAAGTGGAGGGATAATCGTTGAATTCGGTGTGTCTGGGTGGCGTTCTGTTACCACGGTTAGCCGTCAACCTGTGTGGTGTGTGTGTTGTGTTGGGCTGGTGTGTTGTGTGTGGTGTGTTTGTGTGTGTGTGTGTGTTGACGCGATTTCGGATTATTAAGGCTGGCGTCAAGAGAGTCAGCCAAGCCCAATCAACCGGGGCCTGCTGCTGGAGCTGGGCCGGCAGAGCGAGCATACATGTACGCTGCGGAATAATCGTGGGTTATTCGTGTTGTTTCTGTACGTGTTCGTGAGTCGTATGGGCGTATGGCGTATTCACGGCTGGCGAGGTAGTTCCTCTCCGTGAGTGCCCTCTGTCTTAGGTTTTTAGGTTAAAGTGTTGTATGGCTTCGCGGCCCGCGCGTGTGGTGTGGTTGCGTTTTGCGTGTCATTCTCTCTTTCGTGCTTCATGTTGTTTCTCTCCTATACATTAATTTCACATCAATTATTGGTTTTCAAGTGCTTTTAACAATAGATTTTAAAGCGAAATCCCAACTGTTCCCCCCACAGTTCCCGGACGAACCCCCCTCTTTTTAATAACTTTGAATTCCAGTTCATCAGCAATTGAATTTCAAAACCAACTTTCTAATGTAGTTTTCCGCGAAAGACCCCCCATTTCCCGATAACATAGCCGGTTCCCAAGAGCCCATACCACATTCAACACAAACTCTAGTTCAAAGGAGACCACCATTTTCACATCTGAGTTAGGTTCCAGAGGCCCCCCCCCACCCTGCATGTTTTACACTTCGCAGTGGCACTACCAAGATTACCTATCCTCAATTAATTTTGTTGGGTGAGTCCCCTCCCCCACGGGTTTCATTTCTTCCTTGTATATCTGTTGCCTCCTTGGTTCCCTGCTGGCACAATTTTTTGTCAAGGCAATTTGGAGCTTTGATTATAAGCTAAAATATCCTTTTGAGAGCATTCCCAACCCCCTGGCCAGGGGCTCTGCCCCTGGGACCCCCGCCAGATGCACGTAAGGCGGGGGGCCCCTTGGGGGGAACGGATTTCTATCAACCGTTGCCGGCAAGGTACTTGCGTACCACAGTGTGTCTACGAAGTACCGTACGCCAAAAAGGCGGTATGTTTGTCG